AAAGATCAACGAACCAACAAGTAGCCACTCTCTCCCAACACATCAAAGATGCCCTTGATGCAAGAAATTCCCATGTCTTTCCACACAATGAAGGCCTTAATCAGGAGAGAATTCCAGACCTCAAGGTACAACGAACTCAAAGCTCGAACAAAGGAGAAACAGTGGACAGTGGCACTCTCCGACATACCCGACTGGCCAAGAATCGAAGCCGTTGCTGAGTTTAGACTACGTACCGGACACGATTGCTTGGCAAAACACCTTCACAGATTGGGAGTATACACTCAACCCACATGCCCTCTATGTAACCTACATGAGGAAATGGAGAAGACCCACCTGATTCGGTGTCCAGCTCTAAAGACAAGGACGGAAAGCCAAAGATACTGGGAAGCAAGAAGACTGCTAATGAACTGCTATTAATTAACTGCTATAAATGTACCCCCCCCCCTCTTGGGGGAAGCTGAAGTCAAAGATTAAGGGCTAATGATAAATATCATAAAGCCTGCCATTTGAAATAAATAAATTTGATAGAATTGTTAAAATTTGAAAGAGAATCAATGACTATTAAACTCAAGATGATATCCTGAATCAATATTCTTAGATCGAACCGCCTACTAAGTGAATCTTCCAACATGTAATACGTGGAAGGTATTTAATAAGCTTTCTCTTATTTGGAAGTCCAGCTTTTCATAGACTACGACACATAGCATTGTCTCGACGTATTATGAAGCATGATACTTCTATAGTTAGCAGTGGTACTAACTATTAAAATATTGGTTATTTCGGCATCCAAACAGAGCAGAAAATTGCGCTCTTGTTTTTAAACAAAGACGTAATGAACTTAATTATAATTTGTCATGTGAAGATCCCCTCCATTTTGGTAGATCATATTGTAGTCTGTTCTCTCCAGTACTTTAAGATGATGTCAATCGGCATTAAGTGGAATAAGGTCCGCTAGGGGTTAGATTTGTTGACATTTATTTGCATCTCAGAAAGCGATTTCCCTAAACCTCTGAAGGAACCTTCAGAAAAGGGGTTTTGTTTATTTATCTCCTCATTTTTGTTGTGTGAGACTTTCATGCAATCGATTCTTCCCTATCTTGTGCTCGAAGGACACCTGACTACTGATTATCACTTTTCGCTCACATCAATAAGCTATGACTCATTTCAATTGATCCAATTTTTCTCATGCTCCGTGGAGGCGCGTCGCACTTTCTCTCAGACCCCTTTTCGACCTTTCCATTGCTGGTCTTAATTCCATTTTTGGTTCTCTAACTTTGAAAAAGCGGAGAAACAGTGGACGGTGGTACTCTCTGACATAGAAGGAGAAACAGTGGACGGTGGTACTCTCTGACATAGACGACTGGCCAAGAATCGAAGCCGTTGCTGAGTTTAGATTACGTACAGGACACGATTGCCTGGTGAAGCACCTTCACAGAATAGGAGTATACACTCAACCCACATGCCCCTATATGGCCTACAGGAGGAAATGGAGAAGACCCACATGATTCGGTGTCCAGCCCTAAAGACAACGACGGAAAGCCAGAGATAATGGGAAGAAAGAAGACAGCTAATGAGCTACTATTAATTAACTGCTATAAATGTACCCCCCCTCCCATGGGGGAAGCTGAAGTCAAAGTTTGAGGGCTAATGATAAATATCATAAAGCCTGCCATTTGAAAAAAACTTTGAAAAAGCTAGTTCCCACTGATAGCCATTGGGAAAATCTTTAGTTCCATCACTATTCTAATCAAAGTTTTGAGGACTTTTGTTTTACACACTTCGCATTGTTAGTTCCTCCCTATACTGATTAGAACGGGTTTAGGCCCAATAAAGTAGATCTGAGCCAAATTTGAATTAAACGTATTATAACTCTATAGGGAATAATAACCACAACCCTGAAGGCCTCGTGTTTCATAAATTCAATTATAAGCGAACATTCAAATTCAATATCTAAATTTTCATTTAACTAAGCAGTCAGATAAATTACCAAATTGAAAAATTACCTAAAACCTTGACTTTAAGCGAACCAACGAAATTAAAAAAATTTTGCTATCGATTTTTCTTGTAACTATTTCTGAGATTAATTGATACACATCCACCTGTCACCCCACATCCATTTTCCTTCCTTAATTCATGATCCTCCTCCTCCTCTCTCCCATCAAAATGGACTTTTTACCACTGTCTTTCTTTGATGAAATGAAAAGTCATTTCCACGTGGAAGTGTTGGAGTATTAGGTTTGGGCGAAAGTGGAGCTTCTAAACTAAATTTGGTAATTCTCTTTCTTTAATTGAAAATTGGAAGGGGGGGGGTGGGTGGGTGATAAACTTCAAAATGTGAAGTTCGCATTCTGAACTTCGCGCTCGAACATTCCTGAGGGTGCAACCTTGAGGACTTTTAATGGTAGGTGTTAGTTAACATCATAATTTCACTAAACGCTTTTCGCGCGATGTCTATTTTCTCTATAGCTTAGCTAAACATGGGAGTCTTTCCAAACTAGAAGAGCTTGCCATTGTCGGGCCTACTGGTGTAGCAATCCGCTACAATGACCTTCCAAAATGGGTGAATCTGAATTATTGATGATTCATCAAAACACCAATTATTTATTATTATTATTATTATTATTATAAGTCATTTTATTAATTCATCGAAATTGAAAGGAAAGATTACAGAATTTGCTTTCCAAACTTTAATCTTCCCAAAGGGCGTTATTTTACCTCACTAAGACGCTCCTCCACATATTCTTCCCAAGTCTGATGAGTGGAACTTGGGAACATGTTTTTGCATATCCTATAGAGGAATAAAATATAAATATTTTAAAAAATTGTAAAAGTTATGCTAAATATAATATTATTGAAGATAATATATATGATGCTTGGACATAAATTTTCAAGTGCTCAAGGGAGGTAATTGGGAGGATGAATTTCAAACAGACACATTCAAGAAAGATTGTGATCTACATCTACTAAATTACTTGACATCCACATATTCTCAATTATGGTTTTTGAAATTACATTTTGAGTGGTATTAAGACATCAATGATTGAAGAAAGTAATATTAATTTTAAATAATTAATGACCTCATTCAAACAAAGTTATGTTGTGGTAAAAAATTATAGACCAACAAGTCAAACGTCACAGTCAGCAATAGGAAAGGTTTAGGGTGATGTATTTTTAATTGCTTAATGATTATTGATATATTACGATATATAGAGTTTATATTATAATATTTACATAATTAATAAATAATAAAACATACGCATTTCCTTCTCTGAATGGGGAAGGCTCAGTTTTTGAGAGATCCAAGTATACAACGCAGTCATCTTCAAGGAAGGTTAGGCTGCTCTTGCCTGGTTCATCGGAAAGATCGTATTTCTGATCATTATACATCACATACTCCTCCCCACCTAAAAAATAAATAACAAAACTTGTTTTACCTAAACAAAATCGCTAATAATAATAATAATTAAAATGCCAATAATATTGTCTAAATTCGTATGGTGTTTTACCATTGAGAAACATTTGAGTAAACTAGAAGGAGACATTGATGAGAGAAGGAAGTAACTACTGAGAGGATGACATCAAGATCCTCGTTTCACTTAAATTCTGGACCTATTGAGTGGTCAATTTTCACATATCCTGTTGTTGAAATTCAAAGGAGACTCCCTGTTTCTTGAGTTCATAAACTCAAGGTATAGAGGACTCACTGATCATTTGATAGATCTCCGTGGTTGGTTATGCTGCCCCCCAATATAGCTCAAATTGCAATTTGAGGCTGAATGAAACTATTTAAATATAGGATCACTAAGATTGACTCAAATATTTACAATGCCAAATCTTCAATTAGAAGATAGATTTGATTGCATTAAGTAGTTATGAGTTTTGATAAATATGCGGAAATTCTATTGCACTTTGCCAAAATTAAGGTAGAATATATCAGCTGCAAAGATCTCGCTTAAGTTGAATGTACTAAATTTAATGAAAATTAAAAATAAGAATGAATTTTTCCTTACTTGGACTAGCAAATAGGGGTAATGAGACCTAATTAATTAGAAGTAAGACAAAGGGAAAATTGGGAAATGGTCTTTCTAATGCACAAACTGATAAATAGGAAGAATACCCACAAGCATTTGGGGTTACAAATTGAAAACTTTTAAAGTTGATCGAAAGGTAATGAGCAGTATGAATTTAGTATAAAAATTTCCCAATGGTTTAACACTAAGAGTAGGAGTGGTGGTAACAATAGGAAAATTAGCTATTTTCAAGCTATTTGAATGCAAAATAAGGCATATTAATTAACTCACTTTCAGCATCACCTTCCTTTTTCAACTGGAAGGTATAAGCTGAGGAGAGGGTGGCAAATGCCAGAAGTACGAGCAGACTGTAGAGGGCCCTCATGGTTGGAATGAAATGTTAATGAATGGACAGGAATTTATAGGGAGGCTAATTCACGGTCACTGATTATTTACGAGCACTTTACTTTGTATGGCGTTCAAGAGGTGAACACATAGGCCCAAACAAGCACAATAAATACTAATTACTTTGCAAAAGCAGGTCAGAAAGTTCAGTTGACATTCGAAAACAAAACCTAATCAGACTTTTCTAATATCTAATATAGTTGTAAGGATGAATCGTTTTAGCAAATGCAATCCTTCAACAGAAAGGGAAATGTAAACTGTGAAATGCATAAGCCATGGCTATTGGAAATCAATATTCCACTGTAACCACTCTGAACATACTAGAATGTCTCTAAGGACACTAGAAAGAAACTCAAGTGAGGAAGCCAATTGCCAATAGTCTATTGCGGACTTAATCAAATGTATTCCAATCTCATCAATACTACTTGCAGAATACGTTTAACCAGTGCAATGCAGTAAACCATTCACCCTATCGCATTACCGTGCATGTATTTCTTCACCCTCAATCCCTCTATCTCCATTCATCCAAACATGTTATTTTATATCGATTTCTAATCATCTTTAATAATATATTTACCTCTGTGGCTACCGGGCAGCTACTAGAATGCCATTAATGCATCTATGTAGTGTGTCCCGCTTTATCAAACCCTACTTTCTCTCAACCCTGATACTACATTATTGTGGATTAGCCTATTCAAGATACCATTGTTTTATACGATGTTTCCAGGTTTCTGTTCTATTGGTACCACTATCAGATCGATAGTCAATAGGCACCCATACACTGAATTTACACTTTCTAAATATATAATTTGTTATCACGAATAGCTAATTACTGAAAAATAACACAGTCGATGCCATTATTTACCAATTTGGAAGTTGGTAATTTATCACATATCCAAACCGATAAAAGTAAATTCATCTTTAACACTAGAATATTTGTCGCTTGAGCCAGAAGTCTTGTCTTCTCCTCCTCTTATTCTTCTTCTTTTTCTTCTTCATCTTCTTTGTCTTCATGACGTACAACTGAACAGATTTAAAACTCCACAATTACCATCAAATTTATCCTCCAACAGAATTGAGTGCTATTATCTTATGACTCTTATATAAAAACTGTTACACTCAATCTTTCCCCTTTATTCGTTTATGTAGCATGTCTTAGTGATTATGACATTTCATATTCATCTTCTGCGTTGGGAGGAAAGGTGATTGAAACATTTGACAGGACATCCAAATTGATCGAGCGATAAGTGAAATATGGTTTTCACGAAGAGGAATTAAAACCTGAATTTAGAATTTGTTCACGAGAATTTTCTTCATCTACATTTTTTGTTGTCCTGCGTGAGTAATAAATAAATTTGTTATTTCGTATTTTACACCAAAACATGTCATGAGTTTAAAGTACTATCCTAGTTTACTATTTATTTGAAACAGATGAACGTTTATGTTTACAAAGAAACGTCCTATTTTTCATGTCCCCTTATGTGTATAATCAATCTTTGAATTTTGTGAAACGAACTGTCCATTATTTGTTTGAACAGATGTGTGCAGATTTATTTTCGAATTAACGAATGAATAACTTGGATTTTTTGTACGCCAAGAGAATTCAGCGATCTTTCAAAATTTAGTATTAAGACGTTTAATTGCAATAAGATTATGGCTATAAAATTGCTTCAAGATAGAGCATAGTGCATTTTTATTACACCGAAATACGCAGAGTGCAAAGAAATCTTCAATGTTCAGAATTAAATAACTCTGTTATCGATCATTAAGATTTATTTTAAGATCATTTTATAAATAGTGTTTTATCAGCAATTTCATGAACGCCACGGAATTCTATCGTAGAAAATGTAGCCTAGAGTTTTGAGTGAAAGTTGATCTGATCGTATTGATATGAGACCGTATTTTATTAATAAGGGATTACAGCGATTTTTACTTGATTAAAAGGTTACGCAACTTAGTTATTTGGCCCGATTTCATCCACTAATTTGATTTGAATTGATGTCCTAGTTAATACCATTTTCTTCACCTTGTAATATTTATCTGGCTACATCAAATGGCGGGATTTAAGTTAGTTATCATGGGGTGTGCAATAGGCTTACCTCCACGTGGTGAGCCCTGGGCTACGTATACTCATACGACAAAAAATTCCATAAACAGTCAGTTGATTTTTGACCTCAAACTACAATGGTCCCACTGTATGTCATATTCTACCACTTCCACAGTACTCAATTCTCCTTTTTCTCGGCCTTTGAGTCTGTCTGTCTCTCCCATCTTTGAATCTCTCTTCTTCCCCCCTCTCGAATTTTTCCCACTTTGATGTTAGATGATAATTATCAAAAAGCCTGCCATTTGATATGAACAAATAAATGTTAGTTATCATTAGCGATTTAGTTGACTTTGGGCTTCATAGAGGGGGGGGGGAGGTGGAACAGAAGAGTGATTCTCAGATGTTAAAGAGACAGACAGTCACAAAGGCAGAGAAAAGGTGTGGTGAGTACTGTGAAGTAGTCGTGAGTGACATACAGTGGGGTCATGATAATTTGAAGTCAGAAGTCAACTGCCGGTTTTGGGGTCATGATAATTTGAAGTCAGAAGTCAACTGCCGGTTTGTAGACTTTTTTGTCGCATGAGTATACGTTGCCCAGGGTGCGCCACGTAGAGGTAAGTCTATCGTGCACCCCTACTTTCAATATTAGTGTCGCTTCCTTAATTGCTCTTTAAAAAATTAACATCCAAACTTTTTTCCGATTTTGAATTAGATGATCAATGACATACTCACTTGCTAAAATGTTAAATGTTAGAAATTTCAAACTCCAACCCTATTTATTCGCAAATATCCCTCTAGCTTTAAAAGTAAAATAATATCTTTAAAAATATTATTCCTGCCGATTTAAGTCTTGAGAGGCGCTTCAGTAGTATTTGCTGAGGGAATTTCAGTGGTGGATATATTATTGAACACCGCTATCTGCTCTTCAATGAAAGAGTCGCAGGTAAGATCAAAAGTCCAATTAAAGGTGTTCCTGTAGATTCTGAAAGTAGAAAGGAGATGTTTTAATGAATCACACTTCCGTTTCAAATTACACACTGCCACCACGAATATTGGAATCTGTGTCCAGTGAAAGAATGATTTCATCAAGGCAATTGCTCTTCAAGAAAGGGGTCTATGATGTCATTTGTTACATTGGCATGGAAATACTCCTCATTGATGCATTTTGCGAAGGGTTTGTCAACTCAAGTAATTAGTATTAAGAAGTATATTTAAAAGATTCCTACTCTCAGAGCCATTTTCAACTGTCAGTAGGGAAGCGCTGAAGGAAACATGGCCAGTAGGGGCTAGAGAGAGAGAGAGAGAGGAGACCATGGATGCGTCTAATTTTGATTCCAATTTGTAAACGATTTCTTCACGAAATGTTACCCAGACTTTCTATGAGCAAAGAGAATTCAAACAGATTTGTTCAGGCTGGGGCAGCATCACATCTTCAAGATGTTTGCGTTTTGGATTAACCTCAGAATAATGAAATTTGGGTTTAGAGACGCTGTTTTGGGACACTGATGAGGAAACCACAAGGGAAAATAGAGAAATGATTTGGGTATGAAAATGTGCTCACGTTATTTTCACCATCTCAACAATAGATCTCTTTAACTTTCTTAAATAACATATTTTCAAGTTTTTAGCATTTAATCACTGTCCATAATCTAATCATTGTAAAATCAATAGTACTTCATGATCAAGGAGAATAAGTGCTTCTTCTACCAGTTGCAATCAATACCTATTCTTTCTTCGAGTCATTTCGAGTTTTTTGCTCTAATGCGGCAACTGGAAATGTTGCCATGGGACAGACAATATTCACCGTTTGATTTATTATAAAACATCCAATTTCAATTAAGCTATCTCGTAGTGTAAATAGGTGATGCGGTATAGGATAGATATTCCTCAACTTTGATTACAGGCCAGTAAGGTACTCATTCGATTTAACAGATGATATGTATATACATATATATATATATATATATATATATATATATATATATATATATATATA